AGGATGCTCTAATGTGCAAGTAGCTTAGCTTCTATGGCCCCACCTCTCAATTTGTTATTGGTGGGCCAGTCATTGGTGTGAGAGGTTGCAGGTCACTGCAAGCAACCATGGATGTTCATCTTTCTATGCATAATAAAGCACCCCCCACCCTCCCATACAGAGATCCTAGGGCTCTTCAGAGGAGAGAAGGCAATTTTATCAATTCCATTTTTTTCTTCCAAGTTTACTTTTAAAGAGTGTCTGCTAAGCTGATTGCTGCATCTATCTTGAGCACATTACCCCAAATCTGTTTTTTGAAAATATCCTTGTGAAGGGAAAAAAATTGGAATCCACCTACTCTAGGACTTGCTTCATACCAGCCCTTTTCTCTTAATGTCATAACAGAGTAACTCTGAATTGGGAACCAAAAAAAGGTTTGGGCTCATAAGACAGGAAGTTAAGTGGAATATCTCTGGCAGGACACAGACTGGGGAAAAATTTACCTGATATGGTTTTAATCCTTCTGTTCTCTACCCAAAACAGTTTGGGATATATATATATATATATATATATATATATATATATATATATATGCTTATTGTGAGCTTTTCAGTGTGCATTAGAATCTGCAGCAAGTTAGAGCCTGATTCATGATGGAGGGCATCAGCATCATCTAACTTTTCTCCACAGCCTTTTAGACCTACCTCTTTCAGTCATTGCATTTAATCTTTCAATCATGGAGGTTCTCAGCATCGCATGTGGGTGTTACCTAGGCCATGCAAATGTAGTCTACAAAGTAATGCCCATCCCTCCCAACTGACATCCACCCATCAAGGCATTTTGGTGTTTTCATAACTCCTCCCAAGAGCTAGCCCACTGCTTGCATCAGGACTGACTGCTTACATCCTGTGACCTGTTTTCTGCCATCAGCGGGCTAAAGTCCTCTGTTGGCTGATGTCACTGAGCTGGTCCTTTTAAAGTCGGGATCTACCCAGATGCCTGGACTGGCAGCTGGCTCAGCCTCTCGGTAAGCCGCTCCCACCCATTCCACAGCCCATCACTCCAGTGAGTGCTGGAGGGGCAAACCGGAGAGCCAGTGACTGACAGTCATTACTCTCTTCTCAGTGAAGACCAAGAACTGAGCAGAGCAATCCGCATTCTTCGATTGCTCACTTCCCAGTCTTAAAAGTGGTGGGGGACTGATGATGCATCCATCTAGATCAGGGGTGTTGAATTGGCAGCCCTCCAGCTGTTGCGAAATTACAAGTCCCATCATGCCTCTGTCTTTGGGAGTCATGATTGTTACGGTCAGCTTTGCAATGCCTCATGGGACTTGTAGTTTGGCAACAGCTGGAGGGCCACCAGTTTGACACCCCTGACTTCGATGAATATTTATGTATGTTTTTTTTTTTTTTAACATCCCGAACCTCTCTTTAAAGGACATACTTGATAGTAACCTTTTAGTTACACTCATCATTGCAGTGTTAGTCACCACTCGACTGCCTCTGTCATGAAAGAACACTTAGTACTACTGATTCATAGCTGGACTCTGATCATGACTTTTATAAACCTCCCTAGCACAGGACAAAGGTCACATTAATCAGCTCATCCTAGAGCCAAACTTTACATAACATTACTGCTATAAAAGACTAGTAGCTTCATTCCTTTCACAAACGTTCACATATTTTCATAAGTTTACTCATAAAAAGAATGATGGTTTTATTCCCATGGCAAACTTTCACGTTTTGGAATTCGATTTAACCAAAAAAATGTAAACCCAAACCTAAAACCTTTTACCACATGGTGTTTATTGAAAGTCTTCACTAAGCTATATTGGGAATTTCTGCCCTTTATCAATGATAATATCTGATACTGGCACCCTACAATACTTAGATTATTATATTACAATCGGGCGGACTGACAACTCATGGGGCCCCCGGGCAATAGGGGATCATGGGGCCCCTGTGGCCTTGCCCAAACTAAAAAAAAGCCTATGAAAAAGGTACCGGGGGCATCTCATGGGGCCCCCTACTGACCCCATGTCTTCGGGCAGTGCCCGAGTTTCCAAACGGTCAGTCCGCCTCTGTTTACAATTTTGCATGGAGTTCCATGGTTGTACAATGGGTAGGCTAAAACTAATTGACACAAAATGGACACACATGTGGAGATGTTGATGGGGACTCAACACATGGAACTTGGGTGAATTTTCAGGTCTGTGGGACACCTACTATGCATTTCTAATCTAAAAACTAGTACAAAACTAGACTTTTGGGAGGCATGCAAATCCAAAGCCTTGATGCATCAAAAAATATGCACCCTAATATGTTCAAATTTGTAATCTAATTATGTGTTTTTTAGTAATCTACATTTAATTATTCTCAAGCTAAATTCCCAGGATGCATTGCTGTTGTGCTACTACAGTATTTGATGTCTTTGCTCAGAGAAGCACAAATCTCTATATTTCTATTTATGACAGATTTCTTAAACCGATTGTATGTTATCTAATTGATTAATTTACCATAGCGCTTTTAAGCAAATATTAACTTAATTGGGTCAGAAAATGTTTTAAATTGACATGTGTAAAAAGTACCAAACCCATGATACCAAACCATATGTAAAAAGGATTAAGTGAAGGGAAGTGATACAATGCATATATTGCTTCCTATTGCTTTGTTCAGTAAACGTATGCTGTGTATCTTAGGAAGAGACCTCTGTACTCTGAAGGTCATAGGCAGCATTTGTCAGTTGATGTTTGCTTATATAATGTGCTTAATTGGTGAAGCCTTGCAAATATAATGCATCTTTTTCTTCCTGTGTGTCCAAGTGTTTACTTGGGACCCTTCTCTTATCTTTGACCTTGATAAGGAGAGGGCAAGAAAAAAAAACTGGTTTCCTTTGCAGAGACTCAAACTGCAGGCCATGATTGTTTTTTCCAACTAGTGAAAATTTTTTTTTTTTTTTTTTTTTTTTTTTTTTAATGCTTAATCTTAGGGATCACTTTTTTTAGAATCCTGTACTACTACTAGGTATGTGCGTGGCCTTTAAGCAGTCAATGTACAAATGCTGTTCTGTGATTAAAAGAGGGTAGGAAAACTTAGGGGAAAAGGTACATTGTGTAGCCCCTAGAAACTTCAATATAAACACTGAATATTTTTGGTTTAGTCATTGCACTTTTTTTTGCTTTCCTTTTTAAAAAAAAAATTGCCATCACTCCCTGTGAAAACTTTTGATTTTAGAGTTTTGTTTGAATTGTAATGTAAATTGTTCTGAACTTTGATGAAGTATATTTAAAACCAAAAGCTCTCAGTTTTTTATTGCTGTCTATGTCTCCAGTGAGAAGGTTCACTCTTCTCTTTTTCCAGAAGGGTATTGTTTCTAGTACTGAAAGTGATGCCAAATACAAAATGTTAGCATTGTTACCAGAACACTAGGTGAGGAGAAATCTTCCAGTAGGGATATCTGTTCCATTGAAAACTGCCCAAACTGACCACAGATTGTGATTTTCTTTCCAGCGGGGTGGAAGGATCGATTCCATACCACAGTGCTATTGTGTTCAATGATTATTGCTAGCAGCTATAGCCACCAGCTAATTGCATGTAAAAAATCCGACAGGCTGGTTGTATCCAAGCTGATCGATGGATCAACTTGGCTGCAACTAGCCTGCCCATAGATGGATCGAATCTCGGCCAGTCCCCACTGAACCAACCAAAATTTGATCCATCTATGGGTGGCTTAAGGGCGCATTTCCCCTCATCTTTTTAAATGTTTCTGTTGTGTCCCTTGGGCAGGAAATAAGAGAACTCTCTTCAATGGGACACCATACAAAAAAAAAAAAAAACCTGACGGGTCTAAATACCTATCCTCTTACAAACAAAATGGTCTTGCATATACTTTTTTAAATTGTTTTTGCTATGTTTATGTATCTCATGCTGGTGAGTGTCAATTGTTTTAATGTTTACATTGCTTTGCTACTATGTTAACATGTTCTTGGATGTTTTATGCCATGGGCAATTATGATAGACTGCTTTGAATAATATGCTCATTGGCTAATAATTTATTAAACACTAACCCTTTGAAGCTTGGCTTTCAACCTGTTCTTCACCCATGAAGCACCTGCATAGTTTTTTTTTATTATTTACCACTAAAAGAATGCCAGCTTTTTTTAAAAAAACTGATACTGTGTTTTAGGAGAATAGTCACAATTAGGGGCTATTATTAGAAGACCTAAATCAAGTGTTTTAAGACCATTCTATTATAGTCACAGATCTCAAGTAATCTTGAGAAACGCCTGTTATTAATCAAATATATTCTATATATATTCTATACAATATAGATTGTGGCACCTCCACCTGAATTTTTTTTAAGGACTAGAGAGACGGACACATTCTTTCTACTGTGCCCATCTTCCCTGATCCAGCATTTTTATAGTCCTGTGCCATGCACATACATGTAAAGTTCCTTTCAGGGCTACTGTGCCACGTGTTTAAAGATTCCCATCTGATCTGCTAGGAGATAACTGTCTGACATATTGTGCAGATGGAGCACCTGAATCAAAATTGTATACAGAGACATTCCTGTGGCCATCTATAATGGTGGCTTGGAGAAACAAGGGTATGGAGGAAAATATTTACACAACTCCCTCTTTTAACACCCTGCAAGCCCTTCTCTATCCAAAAATATACAACGTAGATCCTTATCAGGATCATTCCTAGTTGTGAAACAGAAAGTACAAGCAGTGCCAGGTAGAACTTTCTTGGTTCTAGGTCACCTCCGCTTTAAGGACTTTCAATTTTCAGGCCATCTTTCATTAAATATTATTTGAAGGTTAACCTGACTGTGGGTAATCAGAAACCTCTTCAACCTGGAAATTCATATATTTTCACAAAAAGATTGCATTCATGCAAAAAAAGTATAATTCACTTTTCTTGTCCAATCCCAACTAGTTAACATGAGCCACCTGTGCTTACCAGACTTAGAAAATAAAGGCCTCCCTATTTTTTTTTTTAATTCGGATTTCTTTGTTCCCCACTTAGTTGGCCAAGCAGCCAAACCAGAAATGGAATCGTATTTGGCTCGCCCTGGAGACTCGATAGTTTTACAGTGCAGGCTTCGAGAGGATGTTCAGAGCATCAGCTGGGTGAAAAGCGGAGTTCAGCTTTCGGAGACTAACCGCACGCGCATAAAAGGGGACGTGATCCAGATTCTCAACGCAGGGCTGGAGGATTCTGGGTTGTATACCTGTGTGACTAGCGGCCCATCTGGATCTGATACCGTGTTGTTCAGAGTTAACATATCAGGTTTGTAGCTGCTGTTCACCTGATTGTGAAACCATGCAATGCTGTTTTCGATTTGGAGGAAAAGCTTGTGTAAACCTAATGTTCCTTTACAGAAAGAGAGATCTGGCAGAAACTACAGGTATATGCAATGGTCTTCAGAACCTTTGAACGGGCATTGCACACAAAAGATTTGTATGAGATGGAAGATCTCAAGGCTGGGCCCTCATTCCAGTTCCTGATTTCTTCTGAAGGTTCCAGGCTAGCATTTCACTGGGGTTGCAATAGCTGCTGTCAAAGCCGTGGCTGGTAGGTCAGACAAAATCTTCCATAAATATTATGAAAAAGTGTTAGACATTAAGCTAGACCTGGAAAATCCAATATGAGTGTCTGATTATAAAAAATAAACTGTCAGCTACCTTTTAGTGCAAACCTAATGTCAAAATGATTAGTAGATCCAGAGATACAGGCCATTGAAGTTTTAAGCAGATCTCAACATCTTCTTACCGCCCTCCGATTCCTTTTTCCTACCATCTGAGCCTCCCGGTTGGTGATGGGCAGCCTCACTGACCAATAGGGAGGCAGGAAAGTGTGGTGTCAAGCTTGATACTTACAGGTAAAGTAGTAATTACAATTGGCTATCTCTGAATCCTAGGATTGTTTTGACATGCAATTTTCAGTTCAGGTAACCTCTGCTTGTGCATTATATCATCACATGCTAAGTCTGACTTGACCAGTTTTATAAAAGGTTGTGTTCATTAGCATGAAAATCAAGTTTCTGCTCACTTAAACACCTAGTTATTTAGGCAAATATTGTTCACATGACTACACAACTGAAGATCCAATAACACATTTTATAAATTGCAGCTAATCCTTTCTTAGTGGCTGTGGCTGCTTTTAGTTTTCTTGTTCAGACTTTTTGCTATTTATGTTCACCTGATGACACACTGATGGCCAGTAACACACTTCAGCTTCTGAGGTGACCACGCTTACTTGCTATACTGTATCTATGGAGAAGCACTGTTGTCACCCAAAGATAGGAATTGTTAGAACTGCAGAACACTTTATAATTTCCCCATCTTCATAACATGGGGGGAGTTGTTCTGTGGTGTTTACACACTTTCTAATTGTTTTAAATAGCACTGCAGAGTGCACAGGACAGCACAGCAGATATTGCAAATTGGTATTTTTAACAGACCAAAGGGGTGCAAATAATAGTTAATTGTTGGGGTCTATGTATATTTTAAAAAGAACTAATCACTGGTGGTAAGTAATATTCCTCGAGCATCCATTCATTTTAATTTGCTGCTTTGCTTTGCTGACGGGCCAGTTTACCAAAAAACTGATGTTTAGTTGTGGTAGATGCCACGCAGCCTGAATCTACATGGACCTTATAAAAGGTGGACTGGATTTTCATGGTTGGGGCCTGAAGGCACACAACTTTTTGTGAACAAAGCAATGCCTTTATTGTAGAAATCTCAATTCTACATTGAACCATTTCATTGTTTTACTGTGATTTAACATGGTTTACAATATTGTCAATTTATATAAACTTATGTAAGATGGCCATATTTCTACTGATCATAGAAAATGTAGTATGGCCAAGAAGCCCGTTTTTCCTCTGCTGTCTGTAGGCACTGGCCTACTCCTACAATGGTGAATAAAAAAAAAAAAATTATAATAGTTTTTAATCCACTTCAGAATACATGGTCTAAATTTTATTTAGCCATTTGGTCATGATTGGCTAAGTTGTATACTCCTACTTCACAATAACTGAATTAACCCCTGCTATGATTATACAGGCTTTTATTATTAATTGTTTACATTAACGATAGAAGTGCAAAATCCTATTTGGATGCCCTTTATCCACTCTGCTTGTAATGAAATGCATATCATTCTAACACTTTCCCAGTCTTTATCTGGGAGGGCCCAGCAGGACCCCATGCTGCTAGTTTGATCCCTCACCAGTTGATCAAAGAGGGGTAGCTAATTATGTTAAGCACAGTAAAAATCACTGATGATGTGAATGCCAGCTGTAGCAGTGTTTAGAAATGTCACCTCTTCAGCCTGCTGGTATCATGTGCAGGGCGTGAGTGTTAAAGGAACATTGAAGACTTGGTGGGATGTGTTTGTCCAAGTTCTTCTCAAGATATTTGGCCACAATTCTTTAAATGTGTTTAATGTGCCCTTTAGTGTAAACATTTTGTTATTTAGATTTTTTTCCATATTGGACAAGGTTTATCAAAATAACTGAGAAATGCCAAACAGAAGTTTATTTTTTATTTTTTTCATTATAGGGTTGGAACTAATGCAGGCCATAGACGGGTTGAAAATCGGCCGATTTTTCGGCCGAAAAAAAAAAAAAAAATCAGCCGATTTTCGCACCATTAATGGGTTAATTGGTAGGCCATTTTTCAGGGTTTTTGCACATTTTTACCGGTCCAGTTGGAAAATGATGGGCAAATCAGCCGATAAAAAATCTGGGCATGAGCTGTGGCCTGGAAGGAGAAAAAGAATAAGAATTCCAGTCTGCTATTAAATTTGACATGAAAAAGTATTGCTGTTGCAACAATGTATCTATTCGTATCCAAATAGAAACATCTGTATCCGAAATGGATACATTGTTGCAACCGCAATACTTTTCATGTCAAATATAATAGCGGAGCTCTCTGCAGGGACAGAAGTAATTAAATGCCGGCCGTAGACTATACGAAAATCAGCCCAATTTTTTTTTTTTTTTACCGTTGGTGGTAACGGCCTATTGAATGACCGATTTTTTTAAAAAACTAAGCGTCTGGTTTTCGACCCGTCTATGGCCTGGATACAGCTGGCCATAGATAGACTGTTCGAATCTCAGCCAGTTCAGCAGGGACCGGCTGAGATTCAAACCATGTATGGGTAGATTGAATGTACCCAAGTTGTTTGATCAACTGTTTGGTCAAATTTTACATGTGATTATTGCTAGCAGCTATTAAAGCCACTAGTAGTAATTACTGGGGGGGGGGGGGGGCTCCCCCCTGCCGGGAAAACACACTGGCTTTGCAGGAGGCTTTCCCCCATCAACACAGATTGTTTTGATGGGGGAATCTATTTTCTTTCCTGCATCTCGTAGTTGCAGGAAACAAAAATTGCTCCATCTATGGCTGCCTTAAGTTGGAGATTCAGACTGGTTATTCTCAACATAGTTCAATTTTAGTTTGTCACTATAGAGCAATCTTCACAGCCTCGCACAAGTTCTTAGTGCTCAGACCTGCCCATCTTTGACAGTGGTCTTGGGCCTTTAGTGATAATTTGGTCATCTATGTAGTGTTGAAAAGGTTTATTTTCCTTCAAAAACAGGGACTGACTGAAGTCTAGAAATCAGACACAACAACCCGCATGCATGACTTCAAATTGATAACTTGCACTGTACCCATCTGTCTGTTATTTTTAACCTTCCTTTTAACATACCCAGCTGGCCAGCAAAAGTGTCAGTTAAAGGATTGAGGCAAACCATGTACCATTGACAGGGGTTATTTCAATGGTCAAATTTAAAAACTCTAATCGAAAAAAAAAAATTCTGTAACTCCCTCAAAAGTATCAGCTTTAGTCAGGCTTTAATTTGTTAATTGCTTATTTAAAGGAGAGGTACAACCAAAGCTCTTTCTGTGGATCACAGTAGTGCAGTTCTTTCTGCACTCCTGTAAACTGTTTTCAGCTGACAGAGGACTGAACCCGCTGTTGGCTGATGCCACTTCAGCCAGTCCAGGCTGAGGAAAGATCCCGACTTTGAAGTCAGCATTCACCCCAGAGTCTGGAGCGGCACCCGGCTCAGCCTCTCAGTGAGTCACCTCTCGCAGTGGCAGTGAGAACTCGGCGATCAGCCCACACGCGGGGGACAGATGCATCATCTGATCGATGCTGCATCCTCCTAGGTAAACAAAAGCAGACAAGGGCGCACTCTCATCGTGCATTACCGTGGTACACCATGTATTTATTGTGTAGAAAAATGGATATATACTCACAAACCAATGGAAATGAAAAGCAGAATAAGTAGTCCGCAATAAGTAGTCAGCTCTGAGGAAGGGGGTTAGTCTCCCGAATTAAGGGCACATTATTGCATTGACTGTTATTACAGACTACTTATTCTGCTTTTAATTTCCATTGGTTTGTGAGTATATATCCATTTTTCTACACAATAAATCCGTGGTGTACCACGGTAATGCACGATGAGAGTGCGCCCTTGTCTGCTTTTAATCACCAGTGTCCAGATTTCCTGATCTTTGAAGGGCATCACCTCTTCGTTTGGCATTCGGAAATTTCCTTTGGTCTGCATGAGGATTTGAGCGCTGGTTTCGTTTGTCGTTGGATTGCATCCACCTAGGTAAGTATAATTTTGAAAAAAAAAACACACTTCTTTTAAAGTCTATCTAAGTCTTCTACTCCATTTAACATTGTCCTCTCCAGATAATGCTGCTATGCAGTGGTGTCTACGATGCTGCTTTATAGATAAACCGGAAGTGTGTTACTAGCCAGATGGCTGGGTAAAATTAAAAAAAAAAAAAAAAGTCTTAAAAAAAAAAAACTGGTTAAAACATCTAAGGATTGGTAAGCTGCAATATAATAAATCTTGTATTTTAGGGTTTAGATATGCTTAAAATCAAACAAAAAAAACTTGTTTTTGCATACAGTTTGTAATTGTGTAAGTACCTTGGGGCAGCCATATTTCTTTTATGTTGTACTGCGCAATGGTTGTTCACTGCTTCTTTACCTAGTGCAATTCGGATAAATTGCTCCATAATTGCAGTGCTGCACCCAATTTTAAGCATCACTTGTCATTATCCTGCTGTTTCTGATCACTTCAGAGAGATAATGAGCACCTCCCTTAGGCAAATGAGCTCATTGCATGGGCAAAGTTTCAAGATCCTTTCTTTTGCTCCATAGCAAAGTTGCGCATGTTCACTGTACAATAAACATTGCAGTGTGCCTAGCACAGACTACTCCTATAAGGAGTGGCAGGTATCTCCACATCCAACGTCTGACCT